TAAAAGGAAGAAGCAGGAGTCAAAAAACATAGAGCAAAACTGAGAGGTGGGAAATGTTTAAAATGTAAGAGGGGAATGATTTTTCTTAAAATGAGAAATCACTATTTTGGAACTGTGAAAATAGATAGTTTCATTTTAAAAAGTACAATTAAGAAGACAAAAGAAGAAATACTGTACAAACCAAATGGGGGGAAATGGAGATTAGCAATCAGCTAACGAACTGGAGAACTTGGTAGGGAAACTAAGAGGATCTGTGTGTGTAGGGAGGGACTTTCTGAGTTTAAGAACTCGAGTACAGAGCTTGTGCCATGTGAATTACACACTGGATAACTGATGCTGCCACAGAAAACATTTTGCATGGAAGATTCTTAAGTAGTGAGTTCCTGCAGGGATTTATTAGATGCTGTTTAGTGGTATTCTCTGACAATATGAAAAAAAGTGTGGCTTAAAAGTGGTGACAGTAGAAAATGATTTATCAGGAAAGCTCTGTTTTAATAGCCCACTTTGGATAGCTTGGTGGCTTCATTTGAACAACATGCACTTTAACACCAGTAAATTGAAGGAATTAAAAAAGAAAAGGTTCATCAGTGTTTATAAACTGGGGATTTTACTGCTTTTTTAGCTTGTTCTTAAAAGACTCTGGGATGGATTTATAGGTCTCATATATACCGGCCAGAAATGACTTCTTGGTACTTGGATGTAGCTGAGGAAGTGAGAAGAACCACTGGATGCTGAACTAGAAGAACACAACAGTTTGAGGCAGTAATGAGGCCCTTGAGGGAAAACTGCTCAGTCCTGGTGGCTGTACTTCCCATCCTTTCCAACTGATGGCCAATTGGAAGAGTTACAGGAGTGACTGTGAGGTCTGCAGAGCATCTCTTAGAGCGGTATCTTTAATAAACTCCATCCATGTGGTCCTGGCTGTTGGTCCGTATGATCTCTCAGGAAATAGGACGGGTAGGAGTTATCATGGTGTTTTAAAGGAAGGCTGATTTACCTGATCTAGTGGCCGTTGGGTGACGATCTGGGCAGGGTGATCCCATAGCTGTGATGCTGTCCACAATCCTGAGCAGAAATGCTCACAACAGGCCAGGGAGCTTCAGTGGCCGCTTGGTCCTGGAGCACGAGGGAGGGGAGGGCCAGACCTCACACGGTGGCTCCCTGCTAACTGCCCGTGGCTGCTCCCTGGCCTGGCTCATGGTGAGAAGGAGGTGGCTTCTCCCAGCTGCGTGACAGCCAGGCTGCTCTAAGACAGGACTGGGCCAGGTAGCAAACTGAAAATGAGAACCTCTCCGTTTCCTCCTCGTAATGCTGGCACACAGGCAGTGTAGAGAAGAAAGCCCATGTTTCAAAGTCAAAGAGAGACACAAACCAAACTGAGAGAAAGTCGGGGTGTGCTGAGCCCAGATTACAAATCAAATGTGTTGCAGCAGGCCTGGATCTGGGTTTCCCAGTGTCTGGCAGCCTGGGGACAAGGGACCTGTGCTCTGCCTGGAAGATCCAGAAATTCTTTCTAGCCAGCATCCTCTGATCTTTTGCAGCCTTTGTGTTCAGTCAGGAGAAAGGACTCGTCCAGGGACACTGACGTGTGGTTGTGGGAGGGTACAAGAGGGGAACCTCTCTGCAGTTGCAATCCTGAGGGGAAAAAAACCAACAAAACACGCTGAGGACAAAGTGTGAGAAACAGTGTTGGCCATGGTGAGAGCACAGGCAGGTGGCTGGGCCATGGAAGTGTCAGTGTGACTCTACCAGACTCAGTTCATTGCTTCTTGTGTTTATTTTTTAATTAAGAACATTGTACGTGCAGTACAACTTCCAGTGTTCTTTTAATGCCCTGAGAAATGCTGGGACCAGGCTGGCTGTGTAACCTTGTTCTTGTACATGAGCTTTACGGTGAGCTAAGGACACCAGCACCTGCCCTCTGCTGTGCCGCCTTCTCAGCTCCCTCCTGTGCCCGAGCAGACAGTGCTCACTCACTCCTTCACCACCAGTCCATTCTGTGCAAGCCCTGGCCTGAAGGCAACGTTTTTAATTTTGGCAGGTTTCTTACCGTGCTCGTCTGTGTGTTACGAACAAAAGCGAATCACTGTGCTCGCAGGTTTCTGAAATGGAGGGCAGGATGGTGACCCTATAGATGGGGATTTAAGGTGTGTCAGGGCGTAGGACAAAGGACTTACTGGAGAACCTTTGAAATACCTTTGACTTTGCGATCACTTTGGGACTGCAAACCTGATTTTGATTTCTTTTTCCCTTTTTTCTTGAATACTTAGAGAACAAGGTGTTCTGTCACTCAGCGCAGCCCCGTGGAGCACCGAGCTCTGTTTGAGTGCGTGGAGTCTCTGCAAATTAGACTTAGAGATTCACTCGGAAAATGGGAAACATGAGCTAGTGACTGCAGATGCAAAATCTGGCTACTGGGGACTGCCTGGGTGCATGTCTTCCCTGGGTGCATGTCCTTCCCCCTCCCTGGAAGTGTTTCTCCTCCCTAGAAGTGTTCAAGGCCAGGCTGGATGAGGCTTTGAGCAACCTGGTCTAGTGGAAGGTGTCCCTGCTGATGGCAGGGGGGTTGGGACTGGATGAGCTTTAAGGTCCCTTCCAACCCAAACCATTCTATGATTCTATGTTCTCATTTTCTGGGAGAAAGTGGATCAGCATTGATCTGAGAAATCACCCTCACTGCTTCCCTGGTGCCCTGACTCTTGCCTACCTGTTTCAGCTTTCCTAGCAGACCTGCAGAGAGAGACCTCCCTTGTTTTGCTCATGGTGGCTCACACCAGAGCAGGTCCAGCCTGTGCTCTCAGAGAAGTGGGAATCTTACTGGAAAAACAATGGTACAATCAAAGCTTGTCACCAAGCCCATGGATCAGAGGTCAGAGCTGCGCATAAACCCTAAAATTCCCAAACTCCTGAGCTCTTTGTTTTGCAGACTTGCTGTTTTAATATTATTTGATGTGCTACCTACATAAAATTAGCACTTTGAATTCTGAGGAAGGAAGGATTAGGAGTAAAGTTTTTAAACCAGAGACAGAATGAATTGATATTTGAAAACTTCTAAATAACCAGCTTTGTATAAGAAGGTGGAGAGGTTTTACTTTTAGCCTGCACATAAACTGCTGTCATAATCCAGAGCAAAGATTTTCTCAGTGGCTTTCTAGCTGAGGAGACCACAGCTTTGATCATAAGGAATGTACGTCTGTAGTCTTTGATTTTTCTTTAGTGAGCTATAAAAGTAATAATCCTTGCTCTTATATAAAATACTGCTTCATATGTAGTGCTTTTGGAATCAGACGAGGTAAGTGCGTAGATCTTACTTTTAATGAATGCAGTGCGTTGCAATCTAAAACCTAATGTCATTACTTTGTACCTCAACATGTGTAAATCTTATCAGTATTGAAACTGAATTCAGCCAACAGTTATCGGTGACATTAAATTAGATATTGTGCTGTGTATGGCCTAAATTCTTAACTCCAATATTTACAGAGCTTTTGCAAATGAACTGGCATCCTCTGTTACTGGGTTGTCTTGCTCAGGTGGCACCAGAGACTTGTTGTGGAATAACCACACAGAGGGGGCCCTGCTCGGCGGGGTGGGGGCGAATGGCTGGAGGTGAAGGGCAGCGGCTCAGTGCCGGCTATCGCTGCATCGCTGCCAGCGTCCCGTGGTGGCAGGGAACCGCGGCCGAGGATGGATGGGGGAGGTGGGAACCGCGGCCGAGGATGGATGGGGTTGCTGGGAACCACGGCCAAGGATGGATGGGGGTGCTGGGAACCACGGCCAAGGATGGATGGGGGTGCTGGGAACCGCGGCCAAGGATGGATGGGGGTGCTGGGAACCGCGGCCGAGGACGCTTTGCTGCTCAGAGGCTTTTGGAACTTTAGCTTTTGAGTTTTCCCCTTTTGGGCCATGGCTGCTTGTTCCGCTTCGGTAATAAATGTCACCTTTCCCTCCCTGGCCTGATGGCTGGAATTGGCTGGGCCTCGTGTGTGCAAATGGTGATCTTGTGAAGCAGGGGCTTCCTCTTTGCGGGTCCTTGCAGGAACCAGGTCAGTACAGTCCCACTGAACGTTGTTGGAGAACAAAATCGTGCTTGCCATTGCTGCGGGAGCAGCACAAAGCCTGTTTCTTCTCCTGGGTTTTCTAGTGTCTTTTGCAAAGCTGATCACTGAGTCTGCAGCTCCCTGCTAGTGATTGTTCACCAGCTTAATTAGCTCCCTGGCCAACTGATTGTTTCTGAAGGGTTCTTCTGCCCCAGCATTCAAATAGCGGTAATGACCCCATAGCCATTGTCTACGGGGAACCTTTTGCACTATTTAGCTCTTTAACCTTTCTGGCTGTTCTCTTCCACCCCACCATCCACGTTTATTCTCCCTGGTTTTATTTGTAACAGGGAGGACAAGGCATCTTCCTCCCCCTCCACCCCCTCATATCTTCTCTGTTATCACTTGTTTTCCAAACTAAAAATCCCTGTCAGGAAGGGTGTGTGTGTGTAGGTTCACATTTGCATCTGGGCTGCGCTTTTCTTTAAGCTATAATGGCAACAGGGCTGCTTGGGTACTGTTGTTCATCGACAGTAGAGCAAAGAGCCAGTGACTGCTGGGGTGAATTCAAACTTCTCTCCCATGCAGGTCACTTCCCAGCATTCATTCAAAATTTTCAAAGCGATTCAGCTCAGTCTTGTTACAGACAAAGCAGTCGTGTTGGTACTCAGCCCCGCGCTTGTCTCCTCAGCCATCCCAAAGAGATTGTAGGAGTTTCTGCAGGAAGGTTCTGGAGCTGGGTTTGATGACTGTCATTGCTGTTTACCTCCGACCCTTCCTTCCTGGGTCACACTCTTTTTGCTGGTGTTTCTTTGTAGCAAGTCTCCCTCCCCTCCTAATCCCCAAAGCCTTGGAAGTGAACAGCTCTTTTTTCGTTACATTTGGTCTGTTACTGAACTAAGGTTTTCCTTGTGTGAGCTCCGCTGGGCCACCTCAGCAGCCAGTGTGAGGCACAGGGCTTTCATGCTGTGTCACACTGGTGTCTCTCTTCCAGGAGTTATTCAGCGCTGCACTGCTGTGAAGTACCACTACACCTCCAGCTCCCTGCCTCGCAACTTACCCGTCAACATCACCAACACCATCCGGCAGGACGAGTGGCACGCGCTCCGTAAGTCACCCCGCGCAGCGAGCAAGGCCGGGTTGTTCAGTGCCTTAGTGCACTGCCCAGTGAGGGCTCTGAACCAGGGAGCTGGCGCTGGGCTCTCGCGTAGACACAGACTTGTTTGTGAGGATGGGCAAGGGGCTGACGGTATAACTGGGAGGGGACATGGCATTTGGAGGGGCTTAAGCAGTGAATTCAGGGGTACGGGCACATGTGTAGCGTGTTGCAAGGTGTAAGTATATTCTGGATCAGGGGACAGACAGTTCCTAGCTGGCTTGCAGCAAAGGTGCTGCTTCACCACAGTCTGTGCAGAGCTTGTTGCATTTTCTGTGTGCACACCAGTGACCTGATGCAGCTCCCTGGCAACCAGCTCTTTCAGGGAGCATCTCAGTTTGGCTTTGCAGCCTCCTGTCACCAGCTCCTGGCCCACCAGCTGCCTGTTGCCCAAGTCCTTCCCACACAGGTGACTGACCTGTAGCCTGTCACTGAGTTAATCAGTTTTTTCTGCTCCTGCTCCTCTCTGTATTTATTGTCTGTTGCCCCACATAATTCTGCCAACCCCCTGTCATGTAAGCCACAGTGCTGAGGGAATCCAGCTAGAGACTGACCTTGGAGGAGACAACAGCACTTGTATTATGGATGACAAAGTGCTGTTCATGCCACTGGTGCTCAAGTTTTTTTTGTTACTAGAGTTGTTCCCATCATGCTGTATTGATCTGCTGTCTGCTTCTGTCCTACCACTATTCCTCTTTTCACTTTACACTCTCTGCCTTCCATGTGCTAGTCCTCTGCTGCTCTTCAGCGTCCCCTCTCACTTCTTTAATTTTCAGCAGACACACCCAACAAACTCCATCCCAAAGAAACACACCACAAAAAAAAAGGTCCTTGCAGTACCAACATCTACAAATTGTTGGTGAATTCATAGCACAGCCCTTCTGTCCCATGCTGCGGAGTATTGGGCCAGGCTTTGGTTAGCACAGGAATGCTCTCTAGTGCTACTCTGCCCAGCGGGATGGAGTCAGTTACCTGGATTCCCTTCATTTTGGTGTAACAGGCCAACTATCTTCCTCAAAGAAGCGACAGGAGGAGGAGTCCATGGGTGAACCAGCAAATCTAAATCTGTCTGGACTCTCCCCTGGCTGTCCTGTCTGGGTGCCGCCGTGTTTACTCTGCATTCTTGCTTTTCTCTCTCCTCAGATCTGCGGAGGATGACAGCTGGCTTCATTGGCATGGCCGTCTCCATCATCCTGTTTGGGTGGATCATTGGGGTGCTGGGCTGCTGCAAACAGCAGGAGCTCATGCAGTACGTGGCTGGGCTGCTCTTCCTAATGGGAGGTGAGAGCTTTTCGCTTCTACTCCTGCAGTCACCACCGTCAGTATTGCTGGCTGGGCAGGTGCTCTTAACAGTAGAGTCAGCCCATGGCAAACACACCGAGTTCTTTAGTGCAGCAAACAGTGGCACAGGGGAGAGTTACCACTCCCAGCCCTGGGCAGGACCTCTCCTGCATGGGCATTTCTGAGCAGACCCCTCTGTACGTGCACAGGGGCCTTCTGCTCTGGAGAGCTGGTGTGTAGCCACAGGGACGATGTGCACAGTGAGCACAGTCCTCTTGCCTGCTCTGCCTGGAGTCTGAGGCTCCTGTCAGACAGCTCAGCTTGGTTTTCCCTAGGGAATCTTAAACAAATCAATGTAGAGCACCTTTCTGCTGCTCAAAGATGCTCCCATCTTTGGGTAACAACAAAGTCCAAGCCCAGCCCAGCCTGGAGAACATTGGCCCAGGGGTAAGGACGTGAGCTCAGTGCTTGCCAGGGGTGTTACATCTGTTCCTCCAAGCTGGGAACAGACTTTTTGCTTGGCCAAGGGTTTTTCTGAGCTTTGATTCTTTAGCTCAGAAATAGGCAGCATTTGTTCTTTATTTGAAAGGGGCACAGCAGCAACAAGTGCCCCAAAAGGGCGAGGTCCTGTGCTGCTGCAAGGGTGGGGACTCTTAAATTCCAGGCACTGAGCAGGCAACTCTCAAGTATGAAAACATGAGGCTCTACTGCCAAGCCAGAGCTGTTTCCCTGGAGGGCCAGTGCCAGCATCCGTAATGGCAGCGAGCAAGGGACTCGGGGCTGTAACAGCGTCTGTAGCAGTTGAACAAGGAGGTGACACTGGTTTGGTGACACTTTTTTTTTGGTCAGGAGGGCAGAAGCTCCCCCTGCCATGAACAAGCCTTCCCAAGGAGTTTTTTAGGCAGTTGCACAGGAAAAAACCCCACGCTGCTGACATGGTGTGATGGTAAAGCTGGAAGTTAGGCTTGTGCTGCCCTTGGTCATCTTATGTGCGGTTTAACTGCTGGTTCCTTCGAGAACATTTTCATTTTGTTACTGCACCGCAGGGAGTGTGAAGTATTGTCAGTGGAACAGGTGGACCAGGTCCCCTCCCAGCGCTTCTGCAGGTGCCGTGACGGGCGCGCTGTCAGCAGTAGGAGCCCTCATTAGGGTTTAGACACAGCTGGAGAAAATAAAGTGATCACCTCGCCCTTGAGTCCAGTGTACGAGCGTGTTTTAGACACACCAGAGTGCCTTGTGTGTGTGTTTCTTTGGCTTTTTTTGCTCCTCTGTAGGGGTGTTTAGTGAATGTGCAACAGATGACAAAAACCTGGGCACTTTCCATGGGCCTGGGCTGCAGCTGGCAGGAGCCTGGATGTTCCTCACAGAACATCAAGCAGAGCACTCACAGCACTGGGCTCTGCCCAAGTCCTGTCCAGAACCTGGTGACATTAGTCATTGGAAATACAACAGGTCCCAGGAGAACTGAAGCATGAGCTCAAAACAGCCAGAGAGGGAGCTGAGGCAGTGTCGGGTATTTGGGAAGTGAGGTATCTTACAGACCTACAGAGTTTGTTGTTTGGGGTTTGGTTTTTTGTTTTGTTTTGTTTTTACCCTGCCTTGTAAGAAGACTGACCGGTAAGACTGAAGGGGGAAAAAAAAAGGGTAATTCTTGATTTTGAAAATTCATTACTTTTTGAAAATACCTGGGGAAAAACAAACCAACCCCAACAAACCAGAGCGACATTAACCCGAGGGTAGTGTAGAACCCTCTTGCTTTTCTCCCACAGGGACCTGCTGTATCATCTCACTCTGCACCTGCGTGGCTGGGATCAATTTTGAGTTGTCTCGCTACCCGCGCTACGTCTATGGGCTGCCAGAGGACATCAGTCATGGCTATGGCTGGTCCATGTTCTGTGCCTGGGGGGGCCTGGGCCTCACCCTGCTGGCTGGGTTCCTCTGCACCTTGGCCCCCTCACTCAACACGTCTCGGGCATCCGTACAGAAACCCAGACAAGAAAACGGGGCCGTGTGACCTCGGCGGGAGTGAGGAGAGACTCTGGAAAGCGCAGCCTGGGCAGAGCTGTGGGTTAACACCAGGAGGAGGTGGCAGGGCAGCATGGAGAGCCGGGCCAGAGCTGTGGGGACACCAGCCCGCGGGATGCTGCTGCAGCCTCCAGGCGTGGACACGGACACTGCAAGTAACTCCAGGTTTGAATTATTGCTGAATTATTGCTCATTGACAGTTTAAGGGGGGACAGTTCTCTTGATTTGGTTTTTGGTTTTTTGGTTTGTTTTTTTTCTGTTTACAAGGGATTGAGTCCAAGGCTGTGTCTTTTTTTGTGCTGTTTTTTGAACTGTACCTCCATGGTCCTGTTATTGTCCAGTTGTAAGGGATGTTTACGCACCAACTCTATTGCTGCAGGTCTGTGGGACTCAGACCCAAATTAGGGCAAGGAGCTACGTGAAGTTGGCTTGAACACTTTTGCAACAGGCATGTCTAGTGTTGGCTCAGGCCATCATTTCCCAAAAGAACCTTGATCTAAGCTGTCGTTTAGGCCAAAGAATTAGCCCATTCTTAGTATTAATTAATTTAAATCAGAATTCAGTGCTATCCCAGGCTGTAGGATCAGCTATTTCCTCACTACTAAAGCTGTTTCCAAAAGGAGCTGGCTGTAACTGAGCAGCAAGACTCAAACAAAACTCTCTCACTGGCTTGAGGAAAGGAGGGGGAAGTTTTCCTCAGCTTCTTACACAGGTGAGGGAACTCATTTGGCTAATTACCACACCCTTGTTTTAATGGGGAGGTGTAGGCACCATGCAGCTTGTAACGACTCCACTGGAACCCAGGGTCTAGTCCTGAAAGGATCTCACCGTTTGAGCTGCCAGGATCAACTCTCACTCCCTGAACTGACCCGTGGGTGCAATCCCTGTTGTGTGACAGGAGCTGAGGAATTCTCCCCGCGCTCCACCAGCAGCACTGCTGAGGCAGCAGGAGCTGCACAGCCCCCTCTAACGTGACCGTCCAAAGGAACCACACTGTATTTTCCTCAGGAACGTGGCTTCTGCTCACTTCACCCCTCGCCCCTTTCTAAAGTCCAATGCTCCTTGAGCACAGCACGGCAAGAACACGCCTGCTCTGCTGGAACAAGCTCTCTCCACAATGAGCAGGAAGGACCTTGGAAGCAGTGCCAGTACTCGGGCTAACTCAGGAACACCAGCCAAAGTACTCTGGGGTGCATTTTTGTTTCATTCATCTATTTATTTATTTTTTTTCTTCCCTCACATCCCCGCCCCTCTCCCAAGCGTCCAAAAACTGCACAGGTAAAGATGAGATGGCCAGCATTTGGAGATGTTTACATTGTATTTAAAATACAATACAGTGGCATGTAAGATATTTAATGCTAAAGTCAGTGTATTTATGAAAAGTGTAATTTTTAAATGGAAGTTGTAATTCTAAACTGGCATTAAAAGTACTGAAAGACTTGCTGGGTGGGTGAGACCTTGAATTCTTTCTGACTAATTACCAGCCTGATTCTCCAGACAGCAATGGTGTGAAAGCTTCCAGAGTTACTTATAAATGACAAAGTTAAAACATCATTCACATGTGTATCGTGTTCACGTCTCCCTTGCGAACTGAGTGTTCAAAAAAGACCCTGACAAAGCTGTACAGGCTGTTCACAGGCCCCAGGGGTGGAAACAGGGGCTGCTGTCTGGGCTGCCAAGTTCACTTACTGCAGTAGAACCTGCTGGTCCTCATCCAGAAGGAGCAGAGGAGGATCGAGTCTGGTTCTAGCAGGAGGAGGCTCCAAAGGCAGCATGACAGTGGACAGGAGGTTCTCACCTTCCCTTTGGCAGATGTAGAACCACTGAGCAAGGGCCATGCCCCCAAGACATCACAGGTTTGTTTTTAGAGGGAAAGAAAAACACTTTATTTTTTTTCCAGACAGAAAATAGGTGGCACAGTCCAGTCTAGTCCTGTCCTCTACCAAGGCCAGAGCCTTGACCGGGCAAAGATCAGGCATAGTACTGCAGATTGGCTTTCTTCTTTGCTTGAACCTCCAGGATGCCTTCCATGTAGTCCTCGTGGGTGAGCTCTGTAGCTCCACGGCGAAGGGCAATCATCCCCTGCCCAACAAGACAGGATTGAGAGGATGTGGACATGGGTTCAAAGCAATTACTCGGCACTAGCTTTCACCCTGCCCTCCCACCAGTGCCGGCTGCCTCGGAGGAACACTTACCGCTTCAACACACACCGCCTTGCACTGCGCTCCATTGAAATCATCCGTGCAGCGAGCCAGCTCCTCGTAGTTCACATCCGGGCTGACAGGAGCAGGAGGGCAGGGGGGAGAGAGAAGAAAGTTTGAGAGCACGTAGTCTGAGACCATGCACCAAATAAAGCAAACAAGGTGTGGAAATGCCTTAAAACCCAAAAGAGAGGCCTGAGGCACCATCGCGCGTGCCAAACAGCCCCAGAAGGCCGGGTCTCTTCTCTACCTGACGTTCATTTTGCGTGAATGGATCTGCATAATTCTGGCTCTGGCCTCCTCGTTCGGCATTGGGAACTCAATCTTGCGATCTAACCGTCCAGAGCGGAGCAGAGCTGGGTCCAAGATATCAACCCGGTTGGTTGCAGCAATCACCTAAGTAGAAGGAGGCTCATCAGTTTGAGGCAGCTGGAGGTGGCCTCTCCTCCCCAAAGATGCACCAAGCTTCTTCCCTGGACATTATTTTCTATCCCCTGCTAGAACTCCCTGGACCTCAGCAGCGCTCTCTGCTAGATCCCAACCTTGACTTGTGTGTTGGGCTGGAAACCATCAAGTTGATTAAGCAGCTCCAGCATGGTCCTCTGTACCTCCCGATCACCAGCCTTTTCACTATCAAACCTGAGGAGGAAACAAGGGTAAAACTATCAGCGTGAACCTGACCACCCTGCCCTTAGGTTTTTAATCAAATAAAAAAGACTGCACTTCACACTCCTTGGCCAAGGTCTTCCAAATTCCTCCTTGAAACTACAGGAAATCTGACCTTGCTGAGGACAGCGACTAGAACAACTGTCAGCAGCAGCTACGTCTTATTACGTCCTTAGAGCTGCTAGTGTCCAGGCCCAAGTAGTAAATGAGGATGAACACCTCCCCGTGCCTGATGCAGTCATCAGAAAGCAGCAGCAGGAGACCATCAGATGGATCCCGAGTCTCACGTACTTCCCTTGTGAGCCCAAGGATCGTGGCAACTGCTCTCTGTGATGGGCTCTACACTGTTGCTGAGGCTTCCCTTGCACACACAGGCAAAGGGGGCTGCGAGGCCCCTCCCAAGAGCTCTCCCACACGGCCGACACCTCACCTTTTAGTGCCAATGGCATCCAGCTCGTCAATGAAGATGATGGAGGGAGCTTTTTCCTTGGCTAGAGCGAAAGCATCGCGTACCAGCTTCGCTCCGTCGCCGATGAACATCTGCACAAGCTGTGGACCCGCCAGTTTCAGGAACGTAGACTG